AGAGTTTTGCCACACAATGTTTAATATCCAGCATTGTACAAAGAACTAAAGAAGCTAAACCCTCAAAGAACCAACAACTGGGCTGGAAGGTGGCTCAGTGGTAGAGCGCTTGCCTTGCATGCATGAGGCCCTGGGTTCAATTCCTCAGTACCACATAAGCAGAAAAAGCCACAAGTGGTGCTGTGGCTCAAAGTGTAGAACCCTAGCCTTGAGCAGAAGAGCTGAGGGACAGTGCCCAGGCCCAGAGTTCTGGCCCCACGACCGGGAAGAAAAAAAAAAAAGGATCAACAACCCAATTAACAAATGGGCAAACAATCTTAACAGAAATTTCTCAGAAGACCTACTAATGATCAACAGACACATGAAGAAATGTTCAGTGTCTTTGGCCATAAAAGAAGTGTAAATCAAAACAGTTCATGTCACCCAGCGAGAAGGACCATCATGAAGAATACAAAAAACAACGGATGCTGGCGTGCATGCAGGGGAAAAGAACCCTAGTCCACTGGTGGTAAGAAAGTAAATTTGTTTAAACATGCTAGAAAAACAGTTTGGAGGTTTCTCAAAAACAAAAAAATAAAGCAAACATGGAATCACCCTATGATCTAGCAATTTTGCTTCTGGCATTCATCCAAAAGATTACAATATACTGCTTTCCAAAGTGGTTGAACAAGTTACACTCACACCAACAATGCAGTAAGGTCCCTTCTGTCCATGTCCCCTCCAGCATCTGTTGTTATTAGAGTTCTTGATTATAATCATTCTAACTGGGGTGAGGTGGTATCTCAATGTTGTTTTGCTTTTCTTTTTTTTTATGGCTAGAGAGATTGAGCATTATGTCTATTGGCCATCCTTATTTCCTCTTTAGAGAAGTTTTTCTTTAAGTCTTTAGCCCACTTATTTATTGGGCAGTTGTTTCTTTGAAGATTTGTTGTTGGGGGATTTAATTTTTTGAGTTCCAGGTATATTTTAGATATGAGACCCTTGTCCGTTGTATGGCTAGTGAAGATCTTCTCCCAATCCATGGGCTTTCTATGCTAGCTATGTGCTTTGCTAAGCAGAAGCTTTGCATGCTTTTCATGCAATCCCATTTGTCCAACTTTTCTTTGATTTGTTGTGTTTCTGGGTCTCTATTAAGAAAATTTCGGCCTGCGCCAAGGAGACCTAGAGTTTCTCCTATTCAATCCTTTGATGTTTTCAGAGTGTCTGCTTTGACTCCCAGGTCTTTGATCCATTTGGAGTTGATTCTCATGCAGGGTGATATATAAGGATCTAGCTTTAGTTTTCTACAAGTGATTAACCAATTTTGCCAGCACCATTTACTGAAGAGGCTGTCTTTCTTCCATTCTATTTTTTTTTAACTCCCTTATCAAAGATTAGATGGCTATAGGTCTGTAGGTTCATTTCTGGGTTTTCAATTCTATTCCATTGGTCCTGAGGTGTTCTTGTGCCAGTACCAAGCTGTTTTGATTACTATGGCTTTGTAGTAGAGTTTGAAATTTGGTTTTGATATTCCTCCAGCACTGTTCTTTCTGTTGAGTATTGTTTTTGCTATTTGGGGTCTTTTATTGTTCCCTATGAATTTTTGGATTGCCTCTTCTATTTCCTTGAAGAATGACGTTGAATATTGATAGGTATCACATTGAATTTGTAGATAGCCTTGGGAAGTATTGCCATTTTCACAATGTTGATCCTTCCAATCCAGGAGCGTGGGAGGTTTTGCCAATTTCTAAGTTCTGTTTTGGTTTCCTTTTTCAGGTTTTTAAAGTTTTCATCATAGAGGTCCTTCACTTCTTTGGTTAAGTTAATTCCTAGGAATTTTATTTTTTGTGGGGCTACTACGAATGGAGTTACTTTGGAAAGCAGTATGGAGGTTCCTCAAAAGACTCCACCTAGAGCTCCCCTATGACCCAGCAATCCCACTTTTGGGCATTTACCCAAATGATCACAAACAAGACCATACTAAAGCTACCAGCATGACTATGTTTATTGCAGCATTATTTACCATAGCTAAGATATGCAACCAACCCAGATGCCCCTCAGTAGATGAATGGATCAAGAAAATGTGGTATATATACACAATGGAATTCTATGCCTCCATCAGAAAGAATGACATTGCTCCATTTGTTAGGAAATGGAAAGACTTTGAAAAAATTATATTAAGTGAAGTAAGCCAGGCCCAAAGAAACATAGATCCTATGGTTTCCCTTATTTGCAATCACTAGTACATGTCTGAGACAAGCAGAAACAGTCAGATAAGTTGATGTTAGGTAAAAAGAACCCCAAGATAAGGATTCAAATGTTTTTTTCTTTCTTGCAATTGTTTCTAACATATTTATAAGATATTTCTTTGTTGCTTTGTATGTCCCTCTCCCACGGTATAACCCCTGCTTTCATTGTATGATGTTGGTATAATTTGTGGAGAGGAAGGGAAAAAACAGATAATTTAAATAGGAATACAGGTGGACCCATTGCTACAAAGTTATGTCAAAAAAACGAATATACAACTTTGGCCGGGGTGAGAGTGGGGGATGGGAATGGATGGGAAGGGGAAACAAAGGAGGAGGCTACAATGCTTGATAAGAAATGTACTCATTACCTTGTCCATGTAATTGTAACCCCTCTGTATGGTATTTTCACAGTAAAAAAAAAAAGATTACAATATAGTAAAGCCCCTTGCACAACCAGGTTCCTTTCTGCATTATTTACCATAGCCAAGGTATGGAAACAGCTCGATGCCCCTACATGGATGAACGAATCAAGAAAATGTGCAATAAATAAACAGTGGAGTTTTACTCATTCATTAGGATTAATGGTATTACATCATTTGTAAAAGCATGAATGGATCTGAAAAAATATATATCGAATGAAGTTACTCTCAAAGAGACAAAAGGATTAGTGTTTTCTCTTATTTGTGGAAGCTAGAACTAATTTATGAATATACAAGTAAATACATATAGGGTCACATGCAAATGTACGCAAATGTATTAATCAAAGTATGGTATATGCAGGAGAGAATTCAAATGGTTTAATTCCTTTGAAAACTAACTCACTGTCCAGAAAAAATGAATACCAGAAAACTTACTCGAAAGGTGGAGGGGAAGATCAAGAGAAGGGAGGGAGATGAATGAAGAGAGGAACAGGAAGGAGAATGCAGTCATAACATTCTATGTATGTCCTATGAAACTTGGAAAACAGAGTAAGCATTGGTTTGGAAGGATGGGGAGAATGACGAAATGAGAGACATTGGTCATGATTCATTATACTTATAAGCTGATTTCTTGACTGTAACCCCCTGTGTAAAACCATTTAAAGATAATAAAAATACAATTAAATAGAAAGAGCAATAAAGGGGATGGACCCAAGTGATGGACATTATTTGCATATATGGAAAGATCACAATGAAACCTTATTGCACAATTAATTTATGCTAATAAAAATGAATGGAAAAGAAACTAGAAAAACCTAAACTGGGCAGGTTTAAGTGGGTAAAAATTCTGAATAACCACTAAGAGGAAAGCTCCTTTTATTACTTAAAATCTTGAATAGAAGCCTATTAAAATTATGTGAGGTAAAGTGGATACATTGTTCTACATAAAAGAAAAGCAGGTATGTGTATTCAGGAGTCAGGTACAGAGGAGGGCGTCTGGGTAATTACCTTCCTCATTGTTGGGAGCAGCAAGCAAACAAAGTTACCTCATTTCTATGTATCACACTAACTTTTAAGGCCAACAGAAAATGTACTGTGGGTTTTAGGTGACTGAATGTTTTTTTAAAAATCCCTTTTTCATTCTCTAATATTTTGAAATAGCTCATTGTCTAAAATATTTACTTGGTTATACAAGTTTCTATATCTAAGTAGTTATGCAGAATATGATTACTTTTATACTCCCAATATTCAGTCAGATAGAAATAGTTGAGTGAGTTCACAAACACAAGAAAACGCAGCATCCAAGGTTCTTTGGAGAAATAAGTGTCATAGGAAATTTAATATTTCTCGATGTAAAAGTACTCTAGATTGGGATAATTACTACAGGTTAGGCTTTCCTTTTTTTTTCCTTAAAATTTTAAAAGACATTTAACTTGCCTACATGGATATTATTAGAATCTGACCTTGAATAAATATTTAACAGCTTTGTAAGAAGAAAGTTATGTCTTAAAATTGCTATAGCAAGTGCAATGCCTCCTCACTAATAATTACCTTTTAGGACCAGGAATTCACTTTAAGCTGTGTTAAACATATCTCCCGTGAGAAGATTGACACATTAAATGTTTTCTTCAAAAATAAAACCCCAAATCCAAGCCTTCTTTTGAGTCATTACAAGGGGCCACCATGTATAAAACGTTAGCTGTAGCCTGTATCTAAGTCCATGTCTATGAATAATAACTGCAAATCAGGCATTTGTTTCAGGCATTTATGGATTCCAACCGTATGCTATACTGAAGAAATCAACAAATTTGCTTTCATAGAGTAGCTATAAAATCTGAGTTACACATTTCATAAATACTGGATTCGTCAACCTTCCTTTAGTCAGTTTGAGTTAATGTTTGACTTAACTATGAATATTATTATCATAAACATCTGCGTAAATAAACTTATCTTAAACTGAAACAAGGTAATATTTAAATAATTAAAAATTATATTGTTTGCTTATAAGAAATTAAAAAACCCATAATAAGTGTGAGGGTGTATTTAATTTTATGGGTATCCTAATAGGAGGATCCATTAAAAAATGAGTATTATAATCATTCTGCAAGCTGTATTGCAGTATTGAAATAGTTTAATGCTAGGGTAAGAGTAGTTTGGGGTAATTCACCCTCAATCAGACTTACAAAGTTTATCATGGTATTAGTACTATCCAGAAGAAAAACATTTCTTAAAACTTTTGCAGGCGATACCCCCCCAACAGTGGGCACAACTTCCCTTCTGGGAGGGTGTCGGCACCCCTGCATTGGGTGGCACGTATCGGCACCCCTGCACTGGTTGCTGCAGCCCAGCTTACCTGCCCGACTCGAAGGTGAACCACGTGGAATCCCGACCGTATCTCCTCAGGGAGCTGAGAGGCCACATCACCAGTTTGACCTTGGCGTTGTGGATATCCCAGAGATAGATATTCTCATGAGTGATCTGCATTGTGCATTCACCATAAATATCCAGATTCGGCGTAGGCATAAGATACACATTGAATCGTTCTGCAGACAAACAAAGGATGGAAAGGATTAAACACCAAGCGCCCTACTGTGGACAGCAGTGCTGTACTTATTTGTACCCTACCGACATCAGAAGCCACGGTCATGTCCTTGGTTGACACTGGCACACGCTGCAAAACATGACTACTTCCTACTTTGTGTCAGCAAAGGAGTTCATTAAAGTACCCCCCCCCATCTTTAAGCCATTCACTCACCCTTTCTACAGCTTTCATTTGTATGCATTTTCCACAGTGAGAATGAAGTGGTTAAACTGATGGAGGAAAGGGATAAAAGCTAGGAAGAGTCTCTGCCCAGATGGTGCTTAACTGCTTCTTCACACAATTCAAGCAGACATCGTAGCTGCAGTTCCTGCGAGGAATGCCTTAGTCTCTCTATTTAAGGGAGCACTGACTCAATGTCAAGTTTGCCACATGAAGTATTTAGTGCGCCATCACAATGACTCACTAGCTACTGGAGCACTGAACACTCCATTCCGTTTGTATCTCAAAATAGACCGCCGCTATGGTCTAATTCAACACATGATAATTGTAGAGCTACATTACTGCCTTTTGCAGATCTTCAGAAATGGCCATTGCAAAGAAAATAAAAATAGATAACTTATTCAATTCCTGGATTTTATGGATTTATGACTGAATATACTATTGTTAGGCACAATTCTCATCCTTGGTTTGCAATTTTCTTCCTGTCTCAAAGGCTACTGGAAGCTTCTGTAGCCTTGATTCCTATTTAATTTTGAAATGCAAAAAAGATTTGTAAATTCCAGGAAGTAAAGAACTTTATATAATCTATGAAGTACTCTATAAAAATTCTAGCTCTTAGAACCATATTCTCAGTTTATAGTAAGTGATCAATGAATATTGGCTAGCTGTATGAATAGAATAAATTATTCCACAATGAATATAGAATGTAAACATTGAAGACATAAAAAAAAGAACACGAGAACCATGATCACAAAAGTTAATGAGCTACCGGAAGGTGGCTCTGTGAGTTATTATTTGATTTCAAGGATGACTTTAGAGGCAGGACCATTGAATTAATCATTCTGATAGGCACAGCAATGCTGCCGTAGTTGGAATAGGATTGATATGTTTGGGAATGTTTTATCATCTACCATAACTTCATGAGCTTAAATGTGAAAGCCTGCTGGTGTGCAGCTGAACTGTCTATAATCTGTTATCTGGGGAATATCTTACCATCTAAAGAGTTTGCCAGAAACAAACAAAACAATATTCAGATTCCAAATGGGTTATAGGAAAGCTTAGACTTTAGGAGCCATACAGCTCAGGTTTAAACAAAAGTGTGAATACCTTTGGACAGGATCAGGCTGTTGACCCATGAAACGGATATGCACATGGATTTCTCATTTATGTTCTATGGAAAAGATGCATGGAGGTCGATTTTAGAGCACACAATGGAGAAAGAAAAAGTCCACATATATATTCCATATGTCTTAAAAGTGTTGGATGCGTGCAGCCTGGGAAAGCACAGACACAGCACCCCTCATCTCTGTTCCCAGAGTTATTCCCACGCCCAAGGGACTGCCTATATTAAATTCAAGGGGCACAACTTGCTATCAGAGTATGAATGAGAGGTGAATCCAGTGGGTTGATCCAGGAACAGAAATAACCCTTGGCCATATTTCCTTGGTCAAGACCCTTGTTGCTGAAATGTAGCCTCTCCATTTGCGTTAATCATATTCCACTGGCATGTAATGCTTCTCACTGCATCAGTTAGATTTCTGTGGAATCTGACGTGAGTGAGGAAAATGCTGCCCTTTTACTCCCTTGCCCCCCAACACCAATGCCAGTCTGAAACAGTCAAGTAAACCCTTGCCCAGATACTAAGAAACAATACTTCTTCCAGAATGTCGAAATAATAAAACACCACTAACCAACAAGTACTGCTGCTTACAGCTATGCTGACCACTGGTGATCAGAGCTCGCTATTTACTATGCAGAACACGCGAAAATAACCTTGACATGAAGTGTCCTTCACAGGATGGTGGTACATGACATACTGCCCGGAGGAGAACCCAGAAGACCTTGTGATTTTCCCTGAAATGTCTGTCTACTCCAATGTTAGAAGATAAAACTGAGTAGTAATAGTACACAAGAATGTTTTAAGAAGTAATGTTAAAGGAGGAATGAGCAGAATTTGATATATTGCAAACATGTACGGAAATACCACAATGAAACCCTTTTCTACCACCAATGCATGCAAATAGAAAAAAAAAAACAAGGGAAGAGTAGAAACATTATATAGGACACTAGAGACAGTTATAAAATAATAAACAAGTGAATTTTATAAGATTCACATAATATAGGGCTGTAGAGATTAAAAAACACAGAGGTACCTTTATAACCAAATAAAATGTGATTGGCTAATTCACCCTGAAGGAGTTTCTTTGGGACTGAACTCTAAGCTGTGCAAAACAAGCAACATTTATTTTCACACCTCGTTCTCTCTTTCTGCCATCTACTTTTTCTTTCTCTGGGAATTTTTTATCCTAGCACCTCCAATTAATTTCTTCGTGTCACAGTTTAGAATTCTCCGTTCTTTTTTTATGCCATTACCTTGCAACTTTTGAAAGAAATTATCCTAAAAATATTATTTTCAATTTTCAAAATGCATTATCCCCTAGTGCCTAATTTTCAAGGATTTCAGATTAATTTAATCCATCAGGATATAAAGAGAGAGGCAGCATATTATTTCACATACCTGCTTTTCACCAGATTCTATTATTGTGAGAAAAGAATCCTGCTGCTTCACTATGAACAAATTATTTCTCTCTTTTTTTGTAAAAACACAGTGTTTTACTAAAAATTGTTAAGCCTTTCATTGGAAAGTCTATTTCAATATGGTGGAGGTGAACAGAGCGCTTCTAAAATGATTGTGTGTGTGTGTGTGTGTGTATCTATCTTCATGAAGAAAATGTAAAAACACTGTTAAATCTTGTCACTTTTAAAAGTTAAGAACCCTTTGTTGAGATCCCTCTACACTTAATATTTCTGGTAGATCTGGGTTCTACTTATTCCCAAGGGAGTATGAGGCTGCTCCTCTGAGATTTTTTTTTTTTTTTTTGGTTGGTTGTGGGGCTTGAACTCTGGGCTTGGGAACTTTCCCTGTGCTCTTCAGCTCAAGGCAAGCGCTCAACCTCTTGAGCCACAGCAGCACTTCCGGTTTTCTAGTTGTTTTTATTGGAGATCAGAGTTTCACAGACTTTTCTGCCCAGACTGGCTTTGAACTGTGATCCTCAGGTCTCAGCCACCTGAGTAGCTAGGATTACAGGAGTGAGCCACCGGCGCCTGGCTCCTCTGAGGTTATTAATCTGTGAAACCCATTTTAAGATATGGCCTGGAAAGTAGTACAGAAACCAATCCTGTTGAAAGTGACTCTCCATTCTCTAAGGATGAAGCAAGCATATAAAAAAACATGGGAGGAGGAGAATGGAGAGAACAAGATACGTTGTACTCAGAACCCGACAGGCAATTGTAACCTCTCTGTACAACAGTAATAAAAGTAACTATTTCCTAACATCTGCTTCAATAAATTAATCTAACTGCAAATGATGCATGACCATTTGGAAAGGGAGACCCTACGCCAGGTGGAACCAAAGAAGGCAAAGAATACAGAAAGAAGGTATAAGACAGATCATTTACAATGCACCAAAATATGGATAATCAAGTATATTTGGTTTAATATGATCAAGAATAAGGCACCATCATACTTAGTTGTTGGTGGCTCATGCTTATAGTCTTAGCTACTTAGGAGGCTGAGGTGGGTAGAAGGAGGTTCAAAGCCAGCCCAAGTTTAAAACTTCAAGAGACTCTATCTCCAATTAACCATTAAAATGCCAGTGGGGAGACCTGGAATAAGTGATAGAGTGTCAGCCATATACAAGAAAACTGAGTGGGATTATAAAGCACTGAGTCTAAGCCTTGGTACGGTATCACATGCGCGTGTGAGTGCACACACAAACAAACATACACACATACACACACACACACAGAGAAAACAAATGCTGCCATTATAAAGGACAAAACAAACAAACAAACAGCCATTTCCAAGTAGCCTAAGGAATTGAAAGGAAACTACTCATCTGGTGATAATGTCCTAAAATAGAACAAAAATCCTAATATAATAACTGTCAAATATATGGGTAAACAACTTTCAAAAATTGTGTGCAATCAATTTTAGGGTAAAATGTTGCTTACTGACATAAAACACAATATAATTGGGAGTTTAAAAACCCAAATGTCTTGCCCAGGAATTTTCATTTATTTGTTATCTTATTTTTTTTTACTAGCTTATATGAGTTATACAAGACATGGATTTTTATGTTGTGAAAATTTAGGGTTCCATATGAATTCACATATAAGACCACGCAGTTTTATTTTAAATATCCAAAACAATAAATAAGATGGAATACTTATTAAACCATTTTGTTCACCCGAGGTAAGTATTGGTATTGAATATTCAATGACATTTACAAAGTCATTTTTCCTTAGGATTCAGTGAGCCAATAAACGGACCAGGCCCAAAGAAGGCCTAAAATATTGGCACAGTGATAAATCAGGACTGGTGTAAAGGGTATTAAACCAAGTGCGGAATGATAAAAATTGGGTAAATTAAGGTGTGTGAGAAAGAGTAATTGCTCAGGACAAATAAGTCAAGGCAAAGGGTCTCAGGCAGTGCAGAAAGGAAGGGAGCACTGGTCTTCCTGAAGTCTTCCTGAAGAATTCAAGAGTAGATCTAGTTTCTGGCAGGAATAAATCCCAGGATGGTTGTTAGTCTAAGCCTGGTTGGTGGAGGTCAATGGAGCATGTAGCTGCAGAAACAAAAACATCAGAGATGGCTTTTGTCACAAAGTAGATCTCACCCAAGCACAAATAAACAGGAAGAAAGAGGGGGGAGGGCTTCAATCAGTAATAATGTCCACACTGTAGAGTACAGAGGGAAAACTTTAAAAGGAGGAACCCCCA